TACCTCAGATAGGGAATGAGACTTAGAGAAAGAGGTCTAGGTCAAGATAATCCTTATGATCTGGTGAGAAGAGTTGTGAAAAACATAAAATAAAAGGTATCAATTTACATAAACTGTTGTTTTTTTTTGTTGCATTTGTGCTAAGTTGTCAACAGAGGAATGTAAATTTTTGATTATACATGTTAATACTCACAGCAGAAGGATTTGCTGTTCTAAATTAGTTAAATAAGATCCCTGATTATCATTATAGGGGCACAGTTCATTACTGCATTACACTACATTAATATGAATGTTTCCTTATTGTGCTGTTTGCACTTATTGTAAGTCACTGAGGATGAGAACATCAGCAGCCTAATGCTAAAAATGTAAATGAAGGCACATTATCCAAAGTAATTAACAATAAGCGATCCTCAAAGGCCACTGGTGCTACAAAACCAATTATTCTGGAACGGCAGTGAGGCAATTTGTATCTTTAGCTTATTGTAACACTTGAGGATTCGACAAGAACAAAAAAATAGTCAGACATTCATCTTAAAATCTGAAAATTACCACAGAGTTAACTTCAGTGTGTGACAGGTTGTCATTCCTAAAGTCATCTGTAAAGTAGTTTTAATTTAACCAAAACACAATTTTTCTATTTAGAAAAATAGCTGAATATAATTTTATTTACTAATAGGCATGTCAGCTACAGGGGCTTCAGTTACTGACAGAGACAGATGTTTATCATGCAATATCTGAGCTCTAAGACTGGAAATAGAAGAAAACAGCTAACATGGCTCTGTTTGTAGTTATTATAGTTTTGTATTATTATATTATTGTATTAGTTTTTATTTCTATAATTATAAATATATAATTTAATTTTTAGTTTAGTTTCAGTATGTTTTCAGAGGATTTGTTTGTTTCAGTTTAGTTTTTATTGTTTAAAGATGTTTAGTTTCAGCTTAGCTTTTATTAGTTTCAGTGTAAGTTTTTTTAAATTTATAATATCAGAGGTATTTGTCAGGGGCAAAATTGAAGAAGTTCAGAAAAGGTATTACAATACAAACACAACACTTTGTGAAGGTAATTGACTCACAGTCAGACATCCGAATCTCAATAAACATTATGCACTAATAACTCCTCATGCTTGTTGACCAAACTGACAAAGACTAAAGCTAGAGACATTTTCTGTATATACTCATTTTATTTTAGTTAGTATAAGTAAACATCTTTTCAGTTCTTTTTTGTCTACTTTACAGTTTACTTTTTATTTTTCACACCTAGTTTTAGCTTTTAGTTTAGTTTTAGTTAACTATAATGACCCCGAGATATAGCATGTTAATGTTAAGGTGGATTTTTCCTTCATGCTAAGCTAAGCTAAGCAAACACAGTGCTGGCTCCAGCTACATATTTACCATACAGACCGTGGTATCAATCTTCTCAAATCATTTTCTGCAAGAAAGTAAATGAGCATATTTCCTAAAATGTCACACTATTATTTTAACATTTCCATTTTATGTGATTTTTTTTTTCTTAGTCTAAGCTGGGCCACCTAACCCTGTGCATATGCACGGCACATGGCTACATTTACGGCTGGAACAAATTTCTTCGTTCCTCTACCTACAAATGGTACACTCCTCCAGGCTACATGCTCTGTCTAATTGTGCCTTCTGTGGTGCTAGTGCTCAAGGTGCTGCTCCTCCTCCCCTGCGTGGACCGAACCTTAACCCGCATTCGACAAGGCTGGGAGAGGACCCAGCCAAGGGAGGAGATGGGTACGATTAAGGCCACCAACCTGTGAACTCTGACCTCAAGTCATTGGGGTAGCTGATTATTTGAGGGCTTCATTCACTCATTATTTTGAAGGAAGAAAAAACTTAGAACTGCACATAAATATACATTTTAACAATACGTATTCGTAAACTGAAAAACAATATTTCATGTCGTGATTTAGCACAAAAACTAACTTATTTTAGAAGACAATCATTTTCTAAAATCTCTACTGTTTGGACCAAATCTCTTTATATTCAGCTTGGTATGTAGATTTTGTAGAATGAGTAATACTTTAGATAAAAAACACGCAAACATATCCAAAGATAATTTTTTCGATGCTCTGTTGGTGTGTGATTGTGTCCTTTGATCAGTCAGCACTGCCTATTCTCAATTGGCAGTAGCCAAACAACACAAAAAAGTATAGTTTATTGCAGCCAAGTGGACAGGTCTCCATGGATATAAATGTTTTTAATGTCTATTTCCTTTGAGCTTTGAAAAAGGAAAAAAAAAACAGATTTCATGTTTGTGCTGTATCTTTTCACAGACTGTAGTGAAAATAGATTGATATCCCCCTGCTGAATCCATTGTTTTGATAAACATAGGCAACAGTTTCCATTTTCCTCTCTCTTCTCCCTTCAAGTGTTGCAATTGTATCCCTGAGGTTGCTCTCTTTTCAGAATGTTATTGATCTCTGTTTTCTAACACAAATACTTCGCTGCCCAAACCTGCTTGCCTTTCAAGGGACACGCTTACATATGCACATACACAATGTAAAGGAGCGTAAGGTTAAGCTTATCGTATTACCACATGCACAGTCAACGCAGACTTCAGAAGAGACAACACTAGTGAGTGTGACAGTGGATCACAGATTTGGTATAGCCAAAAGCACATTCAGGAGGCAGAACAGGTGTGATGAAAACAGTCTTTTCATGATCTAGAACAGGGTCACAGTCAGCAACAAATTCAGACAGCTAAATAAGGAGGCTGTGTAACGAAGGCAACATAGACAGGTTGGCAAAGACTGGATGGCCGGGCAGGCAGGTGTCCTGATCAGGTGATGAACAGTGACTGCTGGTGGACAGGTGCCGAATGGCAGTTGTGAAACAGCAAGATAGATGTTAGTATGTACAACACTAATCAGATTTTCCAGAAGCAGAAGAGGGAAGAGAAGGAGGGTGGAGCAGCTGTCACCATGACAGAGTCTGCTGTTACAAGAGGAATATGCAGCGCCTTTTCTGCCCCAAGCAGAACATTTAGTCAGAGACATCCTGTTATCTAGCATCTAACAATATTATCTGCACACACAATCTGCAAGCCCTTACACCATCTCACATTGTATTATTCTCCTATTACCAAAGAACGGCTGTTGATTTTA